GATGCGTTTTCTCCAGAAATGTCATATTTAAATGTAGATTATGTTGTTGTAATGGAGGTAATGTGTGAGAACGGAATGGCACTCCGAGGAAATAAGAAAAAATATAAAGCCCGGGAATTGGTTACGCCGATTATAGAATGGGAACAGACGTCCTGCTTTTAGATAAAAATGTGAAAGGGCAACAGGCAGTTCTTGAAGTATGTCTGTGTTCCAGTCGACTTGCAGAGCGTTGTAATGTTTGTCGCCAGCATTAGGCCAACGTTACGGCAGACAGGGATGTGTTTATATGTTAAGGGACAACTCAAGTCACATGTTTTAAATCTCTTATGCGAAGGTACAGCATCCTACAATGTATAGAGTCTATGCTTGAAATGTGCAAAGTGTAAAACTTTACAATAAAATGATTTGAAAATGCTAAATAATAAAAATATTAAAACGAAAATCTGTACGCAAAAGTGGGCTGAACGACACGAACATCATCTAACCCAGACAGAACAACAGCTAGATTGCAGTGGACAGTCTGTGGCAGACAGCGCCGGCGAGGAGGCAATCTTTGCAGCGGGAACGAAATAATTTGAATGTTGGTCTACTGTATGGAATGTTTGGTATCTATTTAATCGAGGCAACATCATCTTTTATATTTTAACCAAAAATGGGTAATGTTTTGTATTTGCACTAAAATTCATTTTATATTTTCTCCTGAAAATTTGCGTTTAGTAAACAGTTGCGCAAATATCACGTGGCATAAAAATTTGCAACTATCACCTTTTTATTCTACAGGGACTTTGCTTTCAGAAAATATATAATTTTCTGGTGGTTTAAGTAATTTTATTTCCAAAATTTAAGATTTTTACGTTTGTGAAGAAAAATTGCTCTGGAGCCAAAATGAAGCATGAAGCAAGTATGGGTCAAACCCTTGCGTGAGTTGTGGGGGACCATCCCCAAGGTGGGGCTTGTGAGGATCCAACCCCAGGTAAGAGTAGTGTGAGCCTGACCTGGCATGAAACTAGTTGGGGTCCAGCCCCCGTGAGAGACTAGTGTGACACAATGTGAATCTAATAGAGGTCAGACCCCACCTTGAAACTTGTGGGGGGGGGCAGACCCTGGTGTGGGACTGACTCCGGTTGGGACTTGTTGGGGGCCGACCCCAGTGTGAGACTAGAGTGAGCCTGATCCAGCATGAAACTAATGGGGGTCCGACCCAAACGTGGGACTGGTGTGAGTACGACCCTGGCATGAGACTAGTGGGGGAGAGATCCTAGTGCGAATAGTACGCTAGGGAAAGATCATTGGGAATGTCACCTTAGTATGAGACTAGTGGGATATAACCCTAGTGTGAGACCAGTGGGAGATTGCACCCACTAAGGGCAGCCTCACACTGCTCCGCTATCCTTTGGCCACTGGGTTCCAGCCCCAGTGAGAGACTAGTGTGTGTCTGACCCGGCATGAAACTAGTTGGTATCCTACCCTGGTGTGGAACTTGTGGGAGTCCAGCCCCAGTAACAGACTAGTGTGACCCAGCCTGAATCTAGTACAGGTCAAACCCTGGCATGGAACTGGTGGGGGGCTGACCCCCCCACATGGGACTGGTGGGGGGCCGACTGCAGCGTGGGACTAGTGGGGGCTGACCCCAACTTGGAACTGGTGGGGGGCGGATCCCAGGGTGAAACTAGTTTAAGTCTGACGCAGCATGAAACTAGTGTGGGCTCTGACCCCCGCGTGGGACAGGTGTGAGTCTGACTGTGGCATGAGACTTGGGAGATCCTAGTGCAATTATTACTCTACGGAGAGATTATTGGAAATGTTACCTTAGTATGAGACTAGTGGGAATATAATGCTAGTGTAAGACTAGTGGGATATTGCACCCAGTAAGGGTAGCTGCACACTGCTCCGCTGTCCTTTGGCTGCAATGCAGGTGCATCACCCCCATTTTTGGGTGCAGGTTAGTTGCGCTTTGCCATAGACTTCTATAGTGAGCTCTTTGAAAACATTTGCAAAAGCGCTTTGAAATTCTTTGGCAAAGAGCAGCTAACCCACACCTAAACAATGATTACACTGTGCTGTGGCCAGGGTAGTGTAAAGTCACCCTAAAAGATGTGTTAACATTTATTTTGTTGGTGAATGTCAACCATACTTTGCATTTCTGATTGATTTAGTTTCAATTGACATGAATGGATAAATTCAGGTTAAAGTGTATGTCAGCGTAGAAAAAAAAAAAATGCAATACATCTCTCCAACACAAGCACATATCCCCATGTTTTGTCAATTTAAAAATCATTCAAGTACAGAAAAATACCTGTTGATGTGCCAAAAACCCAGCATGCTCCTAACTTCCTGCGTGACCCGACAACGCAGCCTGCGATACACTGAATTCTTAAGCAGTGTTGTCAGCCCTAAGTTCTGCAATAGTAGACTACAGATCATCTCCCCCTCCTCATACCCACTATATTTCAGTGCAGCAGAGCTCAATCAGGAAGTTCGGAGCACACTGGACAGGTAATTTTCTGCACCTGCAGCATTTTTTGCTATTGCTCTGCAATGTATTTTCTGTGCTGCTTTATAATGCATTAATAAACCTTTGACAGGAACATTGTCTAAATAGACCCAAACTTTTACTGAACATTTTTGTTTTTTATTTGCAAAAAAAAAAAAAAACCACAAAACCCCCTTTTCATTTCACAAGTTTATTACTCGGCTGCAGCATCGGGAGGCCAGAAGTTTCGGAGAACTGCAAACATGGCATTAAAAATGGTAACACCCGAAGCACTTCTTCAGAACGCAGCGCCGTCTCTGGGACATTAAAATTGCATAACGCTAAGAAGTTGTGTTGTTTTATAAAATGCTTTTTCCAAAACTGTAGGAGGAAAAAAAAAATAAAAGGACAAAAAAAAAAAAAAAGAGCTCTGAAAGGCAGAATGCTATTTTATTTTGCACTTACAGAACAGAATACATTTACAAGGGTAAATGCTACAGGCTGTGTTTTCAGAATGCAGTCTGTCAAACAAGGTTTAGCTACAGTCTATGTCAGATTTTCTGTATTATGCAGCTTGGCTTTAACACCTAAACAATAGAACAAAAGTGAGCAGCGTCCAATCCTGACTGTCTCTCTCCACTTAGGATCTATAGATGTTCTATGTCACTAACCCCTACAACTACTGAACTACACGTCCCAGCACAATATGGAATCCAAACTCAGGTGACTATATTAGCCTACAACAGAAGACACAATGGTAGCGTCTGTTTCCAAATCTAAGGAATGACTCCTAATACAGGCAACCTTGAGAATCGTAAGACTTAGACTATCCAATCAAGGAGAACCAATTATTTAAGGATTCGGCTAAAAAACATTTCCAAATTGCGCCAAATGATTTGATAAACTGCTATTCATACATCGCCACCATCAAATGATCAGAAAGCACTTTCCAAGTAGATTCTGAAGAATGCATGCCTTGTTTGTAGCTGGATTTCCTAGGAGCCAAGAAACTGCATCTACAACAGGCTTCTTGTGAACAAAACATATGTTCAGCTTAAGAGGCAGAGGATGCCTTAGTTCCATCTTGATACCGTCAACCTCTAAAAAAAAAAAAAAAAAAATTGTACCTGAAGTTCCTCGTAATAGAAGAGGCATAATACCCACCTCTCGGGTGACCCATGTCTTCTACCTTCCCCTCTGTTCCAGTGCTGAAACCTGCGTAAATCTGGGCATACAGTGATCGGAATTTGGCCCGTCTATTTGTGCGAAGGCTTCCCAGCTTGACAGAAGTCGATTTTTAAAGGGACATGCTGGAAAATCCTCCAATCAGTGGTTGCAGCTGAATAGCTGTAGCCGATATCAGAGTACAAGGTCCCTCTGAAGAGGGTGTATTAAGAGGGAAAGGGGTGGGGGTATGTAGACTGGTATTGGTGGAGGAACCTGTTATTGCATGTACAGCCAGCTTCAAGATTTTGTAAAGGTTCAGATTTTTTTTGTAATAAAAACATGTTTTACAATGGTTATTCAAAAAGCAGTCCCGATCCTCCTCTTCTCGGGTCCCCCCCACGGTACTCCTGACTGCCTCCAAAGCAAGCTGTTAGTTCTGGGGGCTTTCGTACATGCTTTCTCCCGAGCCGCCGGCCCCCTCCTCGATGACTGTGATTGGCAGCAGCAAAGCCAACAGCTCCCACTGCTGAATCTCAGCCAATGAGGAGGCAGAGACCCAGGAGAGTTTTTGCTCTCGTGAACACCACTGGATCAGGCTCAGGTGAGTATGGGGGGGGGGGGCTGCTGCACACTGAAGGTTTTACAGCCACTTTAGGACTTCCAGAGTGTAGGATGCCTTTGTTCCTCAATGCATACTATGTCCCCTTCTTCTGACCCTTGTGTTATTGCAGTGTCCTGTAGTCATGTATGGGGTCAGAAAAGGGGACCACACAGGAATCCTACACAACACAAATGCTATGAATGCTTTAGAGTTTTATGGAGACTGCAGCGATGAAACAGTGGGGTGGTAGAAGGCAGGGACTGCCAGACAGGTGAGTATTATACCTCTTCTATTCTCTTTTTTTTTTTTTTTTTTTTTTTTTTTAAGAGGCTGACAGAGTCTGTTTAAAATGAATACTGCCTCACCTTCTACTCTGCCTCTGAAAGATTATGTTCCAACTGCACAGCCTCCTTTAAAATTACAAACATTTGTGTAGAGGTGGGTCTACCTGACAAGAAATAAATTAAATGGAGAATTCAGATAGGACCTTGTACTAAACAGATGTTTATGAATCTAAAGGAGATAGTACCATCAGAATCTAACCTGCCATTGGTTGCATCTTTGTCCAGTCCACATCAATGAACTGCTTTGTTTTTTTTAAAGTGGTTCTTAGGGGTTCACAATGGCTGCAAAATCCATTACTGTATCAAGGGGTTTTAAGCAGTCTGGCCTCATATTTCATATGTGCAATCAATAAAATAAAAGAAATTAAAAAAGGAAAAAAAAGAAAGAAGAATATTTATATTGATTTTAATTGGTTTAGCTGTCATCCGCCTCTAGGTTGATGTTGTTTCCAAACTTGGCGTAAAGCTGGATCTTAAGATCAGAGAGCACTTGCTGTATAGATTCTACCCGTGACTGTAACGATTCCATTTCTTCCTCCAGCGCTTTCTGGATAAGCGAGAGAAAACAAAAAACAGACTGACCACAGAGAACAAAGAGTACACAAAGACATTGCACAGCCGGCCGAGCCTCTCTGGAAAGTGGGACACTGAGACCGGAAGCTGCACAAACAAATAGTATTCCGATGTGTTTCTACAGACTCGTCCAGTAGACCCTGTGGAGCTGATTATGATTGTATTTGGTATCACAGGAAAAAAAAATGTAATAATTTGCCCATTGGGTACCGTAGACCCTTCAAGAACCTACCTAAAATTTCACTAATATACATTTCCAACATAATCCACAGCCAGCACTGACCTACTTATATCACTATACAGCTTAAAGACGAATGACCCACTGTATAGAGATCACTGAGCCAGTCACATCAGTCTCCCGCCTCCCCCCGCCGCCTCCCCCCGCCACAGTCACACACTACTATTATATATTTATATAGCTGACATATACCGCAGTGCTGTACAGAGAACACTGAGCCAGTCACATCAGTCTCTGTACCAGAGGAGGTTACACTCTAATGCCCCTCCCCCACAGTCACATCAGTCTGTGTACCAGAGGAGCTGACACTCTAATGCCCCCCCACAGTCACACACTATTATTATACATTTATATAGCTCTGACACATACCGCAGCACTGTACAGAGATCACTGAGCCAGTCACACCAGTCTCTGTACCAGAGGAGCTGATACTCTAATGTCCCCTCCCCCACTGTCACATCAATCTCTGTACCAGAGGAGCTTACACTCTAATGTCCCCTCCCTCACAGTCACATCAGTCTCTGTACCAGAGGAGCTTACACTCTAATGTCCCTTCCCCCCCCGCCACACATATTATTATACACATACAATCAGCTGTAGAGAGAACACTGAGACAGTCACATCAGAATATACAGTATATACAAAACACTCACAAAGAGGAATTATAAGACCTTTATATAAATTACTACCTAGTTAAATAAATTCGTGGAAGATGAATTTTCAGTTTTTGCTCCAAAAATATTTTTCCAGAAGTGCGTATTAACTTTTTCCTAAATGTGCATTTTGTAGATATAAAACTACTTTTTCCCCCCATGTAATCAGCAGAACTGCCCATAATACAGTAGTATATGCCCATTTGTCAGCCTGTTACATTTTATAAACGCCCCCCTCGCACTTTTTAAACTTTCCCAGGAAGATTTGCTTTCCCATCAGGATAACCTGAGGAGATTACTCTAAGACCATCTAAGGATTTCTTGTATTTGCTCAGGAAATCAGTTAACACATCCCAACCCTATATATAACCCCGTATTATCTGTAAACATGTCACTTGGAGTGTTCTTTAGATACACATGTTAAATAGAAACCGCCCAGAATAGCCTCCTGACTGACAGGTGGGCAGGCACGGGAAAAAGCCGCGTTTTCTTCCCGATCTATTTCGAGTAGAGTGATGGCGGTAATTGCATACTGTCAGGCGCTGTACACTTCACCTGATGATGGATTACACTAGACGATTTACACCAAACTTAAAAAAGGGACGCCAATTAAAATAATTATTTATCATCCAGAGGCAGAGGCGGTATTTCCATTAACACAGGTTTTGTCCCCAAAAGATTGCAACCCCCCCCCCCTTTAGGGACTGCTCCCCAGTAGAGCTCACAGAAGTCATCAAAGTCCCGGTCTGCAAGTCTTGTCCCCTGCACCACATCACTGAGTTTGGGAACCACACAAGCACTCCTATTAGTGCATGTAGCTGGGACGTGGCTGCAAAGAGACTACAGGAGCAGCTTCGGGATGCAACAAAGAAAGCAAAAAAAAAAAGTGAAAACAGTACTTTGTTTTAAACATAAAGCCAATTGTTTATGATACATCGCACTTTAGCAACCTGTAGGTCATTGGATAAGGTAGTATACACTTCAAGGCCTATGCTATGTGAAGATGAAGTAGCTCAATGCCTGGGCTAACACCACAATGTAGTGCAGGGGGCTGCTTGTCGCATAAAGCCGAGTGGAATTGGAGAAACTGAAAGTGGATATTGCAACTTTTTTAATGTCATCATTTAATAGGTTATTGCTTTAAAGTGGAACTACACTGTATCTGAGTACCACAAACTAAAACCATTAAGTCATTTTTAATATTCAAAGCAACCCCCCCCCCAATCCATGCATGTTCCCATGCTGAGAAATCACAAAAAAAAAAAAAAAAAAACCTCTTCTTCCTGGAATCCATCTGCTCTTAGCTCAGGCATGCAGGAGAGAGGGTGTGCTTAGCTGAGAAAACCCCTCCTGAGGACTCCTGGGATGTATAACATCATTTTCCTTGCTATTAAAACCAGGAAATAAATTAAGAAATGTAAAAAATATTTTATATATATATATAAAAAATACTTTCCTATCTATTTACTAATGCTAGCAGCATAAGGACTCAAAATAGTCAATGATGACAGAGAGTGAAGCTTGGCTTTAACAAGAACATCACACAGAATACAGATTGCTGTCAATAGCCACACCTGAAACTAAGATTTATGTGATTGTGGGAGAGATAGATAGAATTCCATGGGATCTGTACACAGATGAAAGGCACATTTTCTACAGGAGATCTAAAGTCACAAGATAAACTTTCATTTGAGATTATCATTGTAATAACAATACATACAATAGTTATTTGTGACAATTTACGTTCACTTGAAAAATCCTCTCATGTTGTGAGCGCTGCCTGTCTGCCCGCCTTCTCTTCCACAACATCCTGCATTCCCAGCATGCCCTGCAGCTCATTCCCTGTTTACTGTTTATTTCTAAGGATTACCGTATACATATGTTCTGCTGGGTGTCAGTAAGGGTCACACAGCCACTCCCTGTCTGGAGTCATGCCATTCAGACTCCTCTCTGTAGCCCTTGCGACTACAGATGGGAATTTAGACTTTACAAACTGTGAAGCTGGACGGAATTGAATGGATCACAAATGGCAAATACAAACCCATCCAGTCACCCCTACCTCCTGTGCCCTGCCTGTACTATACCTTTTGCCTGCAAGTAAAGCCTACCTAAGCTCCACCCACAGTAACGCCCAAAACATCAATAAAATAACACAAGTCCCAATGAATCATGGGACCTGTATTTTTTTTAGGAAATTAAATGGGCAGCCAAGAGGAATGGCATCCAGTCAGTGGGCTTGCAAACAGCGCTGAAAAGAACCTATGACATCACAGGTACAAAACCACCATATACAGCTCTAGCAATTTCAAGGGCAGTTGTGCTGGTAATTCTCAGACATCTATCGTGGAGGTGACACGATCCGATTTCTTTTGAGGTTGCCTGTGGGGGGTTTCCCTTTGTATCCTAAACAATTCTTCCGGCAGTCCTGGCTGCAATCTTTCTTGGTCTACCTGACCTTGGCTTGGTATCAAGAGATCCCCGAACTTTCCACTTTCTTAATAGGTGATATAACAGTACTGATTGGCATATTCAAGGCTTTGGACATCTTTTTATGTCCTTTTCCATCTTTATAAAGTTCCATTACCTTGTTACGCAGGACTTTTGACAGTTCTTTTTCTTATCTCCATGGCTCAGTATCTAGCCTAGTCAGAGCTTCCACGTGAGAGCTAACAAACTCATTGACTATTGATATAAAGACACTAATTGCACTTTAAAAATCACAGATGTGGAACATTAACCTCTACTTGGCATTTTAAACCCATGTGTGTCTCCCCTTGTGTGTCTGCACCAAGGCCAAATATTCCAGGGGAGGGAAACTTTTGATCAGAGCCATCTGAGTGATTTCTGTTATCATTATGATTTAAAAAGAAGCCAAACAACTATTTGAGAATAAATGGCTTCATATGATCATCATCCTTCAATAAAAGAGCATTTTTTGGCCTGATCAGTCATATTTTCAATATCAAATTTTCGATAGATAGATATGGGAGGGATGGATAGATAGATAGATAGATAGATAGATAGATAGATAGATATGGGAGGGATAGATAGATAGATAGATAGATAGATAGATAGATATGGGAGGGATAGATAGATAGATAGATAGATAGATAGATAGATAGATAGATAGATAGATAGATAGATAGATAGATATGGGAGGGATAGATAGATAGATAGATAGATATGGGAGGGATAGATAGATAGATAGATAGATAGATAGATAGATAGATAGATAGATAGATAGATAGATAGATAGATAGATAGCTCAGAGTTGTCTTTTGTGTTCTGATAGTCAGGACTAACATTTGAATTTTGGATCCACAATTATCAGCACGACTTCTGCGAGTAGCACTGGGAAAGGGGCAATCCCTTTGGGGGAAGAATATTTTGGTGAGCGCCTCCTTTACCTTGAATGATTGTGACAGAAGTAAATGAAGTACTTATCTTACACCTGACTGCAGCTCCCTATGGCAAGCACTTTGTACGCAGGTCATGTCCCCCCCACACCACCACGTTACAAACCTTGGCAGCTTCTAGCATCTCCTGCGTCTCCTCCTGAGAGTGACTGATGAACACATCGCCGATCTGGTAAGGAATTAACAAGGAGTCGTCCAGCATCATGAGGTCATCGCAGGCGTCCTCCAAATTCTGGAGCTCTTTCTGTCAGAACAATCCACAGATGACAAGTGAGAAGTGATGCAAGCAGGGAGGCCGTAGTTAAGCAGCAACTGCAGCATCTATATACCCCGCCATTTGTAGATGCTATAACTTTCCCGACGACTAATTTGTATACACTTATTGGGATTTTTTTTTTTTACCAAAGACATGGAGCAGAATACATTTTGGCCTAAATTTTTGAAGAAATGTGATTTTTATTATTGGATATGTCTTATAAGTAAAAAAAAAAAAAAAAATTACAGGTTTTTTTTTTCATTTATAGCGCAAAAAATTTAAAAAACCTCAGTGGTGACCAAATACCAAAGGAAGCCCTATTTGTGTGAAATAAATTACATAAATTTCATTTGTGTACAGTGTTGCATGATCGTGCAATTGTCAGTTAAAATAGCGCAGTGCCAAATAGAAAAATATGCCCCTAACCTAACCTATGCCCTGACCTAACTTTAAAAGGACATTTTTTATTGGATATGTTTTATAGCAAAAAGTGAAAAAAAAATGTGTTTTTCTTAACTTTACGGGTTTTTTTTTTTTTTTCCATTTACAGTGCAAACAATTAGAAAACCCTCAGTGGTGACCAAATTCTACTTAAAGAAAGCTCTATTTGTGTAAAAAAAAATTACCGTACATAAATGTAATTTGTGTACAGCATTGCATGACCACGCAATTGTCAGTTAAAAAAGAAAAAAAATGGCATGGTCATGATGGAGGGGGTAAATCTTCAGGAGGGCAAGCGGTTATAAGTCGCTGCTCACTGCCATTGTGAGGGTTAAAAAAAAAAAAAATCTCTCTCTGTTTCTCTCTCCTGCTGATTTTGAATGTTCGCCCCTCACAAAGAAAGGATAAGCCTAAAAATCAAATGTTCGGTGTATTGTAACACTGAGAGACAGAATACAACAAATTCAGCAGAAATGCGTCTAACAAATGATGACTGATCTGCATGTTCATGAGGGAAAGAAGGATTTGATCACCTATCATTCAGCAGGATTTCTGGCTCCCAGGTGTCTTTCATACAGGTAACAAGCTGAGATTAGAAGCTGTCTCTTAAAGGGAGTGCTGCTAATCTCATTGTGTTACCTGTATAAAAGACACCTGTCCACAGGAGCAATCAAACCATCAGATTCCAAACTCTCCACCATGGCAAAGACCAAAGAGCTGTCCAAGGATGTCAGGGACAAGATTGTAGACCTACACAAGGCTGGACTGGGCTACCAAACTATGGCCAAGCAGCTTGGTGAGAAGGTGACAACAGTTGGTGCAATCATTCGCAAATAGAAGAAACACAAAACAAGTGCCAGTCTCCCTAGATGTGGTGCACCATGCAAGATCTCACCTCGTGGAGTGTCAATGATCATGAGAACAGTGAGGAACCATCCCAGAACTACACGTGAGGATCTTGTCAATGATCTCCAGGCAGCTGGGACCACAGTCACCAAGAAAACAATTGGTAACACACTACGCCGACAAGGACTGAAATCCTGCAGTGCCCACAAGGTCCCTCTACTCAAGAAAGCACATGTCCAGGCCCGTCTGAAGTTTGCCACTGAACATCTGAATGATGCAGAGGAGGACTGGTTGAAAGTGTTGTTGGAATGCTGCCTATGACCCCAAGAACACCATCCCAACTGTGAAACATGGTGGTGGAAACATTCTGCTTTGGGGGTGTTTTTCTGCTAAGGGGACAGGACAACTGCACCGCATCAAAGGGACGATGGACGGGGCAATGTACCATCAAATCTTGGGTGAGAACCTTCTTCCCTCAACCAGGGCATTGAAAATGGGTGGTGGATGGGTGTTCCAGCATGGGAATGACCCAAAACACACGGCCAAGGCAACAAAGGAGTGGCTCAAGAAGAAGCACATTAGGGTCCTGGAGTGGCCTAACCAGTCTCCAGACCTTAATCGGATTGAAAATCTGTGGTGGGAGCTGAAAGTTCGAGTTGCCAAACGTCAGCCACCAAACCTTAATGACTTGGAGAGGATCTGCCAGGAGGAGTGGGCCAAATTCCCTCCTGAGATGTGTGCAAACCTGGGGGCAAACTGCAGGAAACGTCTGACCTGTGTGATTGCCAACAAGGGATTTGCCACCAAGTACTAAGTCATGTTTTGTGAAGGGGATCAAATCCTTCTTTCCCTCATGAACATGCAGATCCGTCATCATTTGTTAGACGCATTTCTGCTGAATTTGTTGTTGCTATTCTGTCTCTCAGTGTTACACCGAACATTCGATTTGTAGACCGATCATTTCTTTGTGAGGGGCGAACATTCCACATCAGCAGGAGAGCAAATACGCATTTCCTTCACTGTACACACACACATTATATATATATATATATATATATATATATATATATATATACATATACACATACACACACACACAAACCTATTAATATACTTACTGAGATTTTATTTTTCTACCGAAGACATGTAGCAGAATACATTTTGGCCTAAACTTATGAAACTTTTTTTTTTTTTTTTTAATTTTCATTGGCTATGTTTTATAGCCCTCATCATAACCCTCTCCTCCTCTAGGAATGTCTAATTACTGTCTGTACTGGCCCAGCTCCTTTGCCCATCACCTCCCTACGTGACCTTTTATGTAGGTGCTGGGGGGAGGAGCAAAGGAGACTTGAGTGACAGCTCACATCCAAGATGGCGGCGCCCAGCAGCAGTCTCAAGGCTTTTGCAGGTCTACACAAGGTAGGATTCTACAGGTAAATGATACTAAATGCACATAAAATCGTAGGGGAAGATTGCTGTAGAAATCATTGCTGTGCTGACAGGGCCTCTACATTGTGCTTTACGCTTCACTAAGCTCCAGGCAGTGGCTTATGCCGTAACTGATTTTCTGGCAGCGGCCATGACTTTGTGGCTGACCAAGCATTTCAGAAATGATGCCACAGCAGGAGGTTCATCCATCAGCGCTGTATGGCATGGACGGAGGAATTGGTAATTTTCTTACAGCCTGAGGACTGTTGGTGTACGGCCAGCTGAACACAGTGACGGCACACAGCCAGAGGTTTTCTATCTTCCCACAGCAATCAGCACACAGACAGGGGGAGGAGGAGGGAATCCCCGGCATACCTTCTTCAACTCAATCTCATCTTTCAGCTCTGTGATCCGACTCGTGTTCCTGGCGAAGATGTTAATTTTCTGCTGGTCCTCGAAGGTGACATTGACGTCCTCGGCGACCTGCCGGGGGAAATGAATGGAAGAGGGGAGGGGTCAGTGTGTATCAATAACCAATCGTGGGTGAGGATAGATGTCACTTCATTTACTTCCTGTCCCAGACTGAGGTAATGTGAGGTAATATGGAGTACTATGAGGTAATGTGAGGTAATATGGAGTACTATGAGGTAATGTGAGGTAATATGGAGTTCTATTAGGTAATATGGAGTTCTATTAGGTAATATGGAGTACTATGATGTAATGTGAGGTAATATGGAGTATTGTGAGGTAATATGGAGTTCTATGCGTTAATGTGAGGCAACATGGGGTACTATGAGGTACATTTAGGTAATATGGAGAACTATGAGGTAATATGAAGTTATATGAGGTAATGTGATGTAATATGGAGTACTATAATGTAATGTGAGGTCATATGGAGTATTGAAAGGTAATATTGAGTACTATGATGTATAGTGAGAAAATATGGAGTTCTGTGAGGTAATTTGGAGTACTATTAGATAATGTGAGGTAATATGGAGTTCTTTGAGGTAATATGGGGTGCTAAAAGGTAATGTGAGGTAATATAGAGTACTATGATGAATAATGTGAGGTTATATGGAGTTCTATGAGGTAATATGTAGTACGATTAGGTAATATGGGGTGCTATGAGGTAATGTGGGATTCTATGAGGTAATATGGAGTACGATTAGGTAATATGGTTGTTCTGAGGTAAAGTGAGGTAATATGGAGTTTTATGAGGTAATGTGAGGTTCTATGAGGTAATATGGAGTACTATGAGGTAATATGGAGTTTTATGAGGTAATATGGGGTTCTATGAGGTAATATGGAGTACTATGAGGTAATATGGGGTTCTGTGAGGTAATGTGGAGTACTATTAGGTAATATGTGGTTCTGAGGTAAAGTGAGGTAATATGGGGTTCTATGAGGTAATATGGAGTTTAATGAAGTAATGTGAGGTAATATGGGGCTCTATGAGGTAATATGTAGTATGATGAGTAATATGGGGTACCGAGAAAACATATTGAAAAGCAATCAGAGGTAATATAGAATACTATGAGGGGTGACATGTGGTACCTTGTTGTACCGTACATTTCCCTCCATTGTCTCCCTGAAGGATGTGATGAATTACACTACCCCATCAGGCCCACACCGAGTGTAACACCACATCCCCCCCCGGACACCGGGCAAACATCCCCCCCACACACTCCCCCGGCCGCCTCACCGCTTTCTTCATGGTGGCGGACATCTTGAGACCGTACCACCGCAGGCTCCGCATAGGGGGTCATTCCCCCACCTTCTATACATACATCGGCCCACAACAAGAACACCCCCGTTTTTGTGTAGCACCGCCAATAACAAACACGTTCATCAAGAAGAACCAATAACAACAGATAACTGACGGGCTTTTGTTCGTTATCTCACTTTAAGGAAAACCTACCAAGCGCCCCCCGGGATGAAGATGGTACAGCCCGAATAACGAGCCTCTATGGGAGGAAGACTGCACAGAGCAGCCGCTTAGACGTCGACGTGCGCTATGTGCTGAGTCGGCCGATAGATGTCGCTGTGCGCTATGTGCTGAGCCGGCCGATAGATGTCGCTGTGCGCTATGTGCTGAGCCGGCCGATAGATGTCGCTGTGCGCTTTGTGCTGAGCCGGCCGACAGATGTCGCTGTTCGCTATGTGCTGAGCCGGCCGATAGAGGTCGCTGTGCGCTTTGTGCTGAGCTGCCCGATAGATGTCGCTGTGCGCTATGTGCTGAGCCGGCCGATAGATGTCGCTGTGCGCTATGTGCTGAGCCGGCCGATAGATGTCGCTGTTCGCTAAGTGCTTATCCGGCCCGATAGATAATGCTGTGCGCTATGTGCTGAGCCGGCCGATAGATGTCGCTGTTCGCTATGCTGTAGATGGCATTGCAGAGATACATTGTATCAGCAGGTAATATTTTCATTCTTCTTGTAGCAATTTAAATCTGTAAAGCAAATCACATAGAGCTGTGTATATATATATATATATATATATATATATATATATATATATATATATATATATATATATATATATATATATATATATATATATATATGTGTGTATATATGTATAGGCTTTAGCAGTGTAATCACTCATCACTCCTGTTGTCTCCTTTCTAGCCAGATCCCTGTGTCCCCTTCCCTCAATTAGCCTTGATGGGGACACCTGTGTTTTTTATCTATTACTATCATCATGGATTCAGTTTAATCAGGTGTATGGATCTCTGAAAATCCCTTCTCACCAGGACCTGTCCCCATCCTATGTGCTGGGATGGGGAAAATCGCAGCATGGTTCAATGGCCTGCACTTCCCATTCTTCGGGTTCCATCCAAAATGCAGCCTGGCACATTGGAAGCACACCATTACTGCATGCATGTGTTACTAGGAAAATTATATTTCCCAGCCCAAAACTGCACAGGAACACCCATTTGCAACATGCTGATTGGTGTCCTATTAAAAGAGATGTGCAGAATTAAAAAAAAAAAAAAAAAACACTCATACCCGCCAGGTGGATACAGCATTGGATCCATGTCATCCGCTGCCTCTACACTCAGCAATCAAAGGCGGCTAATCGATGATCTCTCACTTCTCAAGTCTGCACTGAGCACAGAGCTGAGGCTGTCAGTCCTCGGCTCTCTGCTGTGCCCCTCCAGCGCTCCACTGGAGTGCCAGGCTGTGGATGGGGGCTGTCATCAGTGACTTATAGTGGGACTGTGATAGTGCAGCAGACAATCTGACACTAACTAACACAGGGTGGGCACTAACTAACTTGACACAGACATCACCAGTGACATTAATACAGTGAACAGAGATAATACTACACACTGTCACTGTACTAACGATACTGGCTGGGAAGGCGTTAACATCTCAGGGTAATCAAGGGGTTAAATGTGTGCCTAATAAGGGTTAATGTGTGTAATATATACTGTTTTTTTTACAAAAAATCTCTTTGTTCCTTCTCACTGCAAAGCAAAGAGATTGCTCTGTCTGTACAGAGCCCTGTGTTGTTTGTCAACACAGAGCTCTGGCCTGTGATTGGATACAGCTGATCAGCAGGTCCCGGACATGAATCATGGTTTGGGACCTGCTCACAAAATCCTGCTGTTTTTTGTTGGTGAAGGGGGGGGGGCGCCCTGCGACCTGTGCTCTGTACCCGGCAGAGGCGAGCACTGTACAGGTATGTTGCCTCCCATCCACAGTACAATGCGGGCAGGCAGTCCTAAGGTGGTCAATGTTGGAAGTATTTCCTGGGCTTCCTAGTCTAATGAAGTCTTTGCATCACTGAGTGTCAAGGTCCTACCTTTCCTCAGGGCTTGTGCTGCTCCATGTGCTGGCATCCATCTTAGGTGTCTGCAAAGCATTGTAGGATCCTTTATGCTTTCAGCCCCCTGCAGCTCCTCCCCCAGGAGGTGGCAGGTTATCACATATAAGTCTGCTGTTTGTAGCTGTCCATTGCATTCGTGTCCTGTCTGTTGCACAGCAGCAAGCTCCTGTTTAGTTTCCCATTGCTCTCCTGGATACCGACTCGGCTTTGGCAAGACTCCTTCCTGGCTTCTGACCCCGGCTCTGGCAACCATCCTTCCTGGCTTCTGACCCCGGCTCTGGCAACCATCCTTCCTGGCTTCTGACCCCGGCTCTGGCAACCATCCTTCCTGGCTTCTGACCCCGGCTCTGGCGATCATCCTTCCTGGCTTCTGACCCCGGCTCTGGCGATCATCCTTCCTGGCTTCTGACCCCTGCTCTGGCGATCATCCTTCCTGGCTTCTGACCCCGGCTCTGGCGATCATCCTTCCTGGCTACTGTTCTACCAAGTCATCCGCTGTTGCTGTTGGACTTGCATAGAATCTGTCTTGTTGTTGTATAATAAACCTACCTTTAATTGCACCTCCTTGTGTGTCTGGCTCCTCGCTCCCTGACACTGAGGACCATTCAGTTTGTAGAAGAGGCCACTATAGGGTCCATTGATAAGATTGAAGACTCAACTGGAAGAGTTGAGTTTTAGAAAAATGAAAAAGTATATTATACTGCCTGGGGGGGGGGGGTTCTCAACAGGGGAACAAGGGCAGCATGGAGTTGGGCCTTAAAATACCTATAGTTATAAAGACTGTATTCAGACTTGTGCAAGTGTGTTGTAACAACATCCGCCTTGTGGTGCGCTAGAACAAATGATTAAGGCATTTCTTGGTTCTTTGTTGCACCTCGAGGCCCTGCAGAGAAAGAAGAATGCCTTAGCGGACCACAATGCTGTATTTGAAAATATGCAATGAATACGCAAAGGCCTGTCGCTAAAAACACCCTTCTGACAATAATGACACCCATACGGTGAAGACACATTTCAGTAGATTTCATCGGCTGAGTTTGACCAACCAGTTATGAAAAAAAGCCACATAACTGAACCTGAAGGTGTTTTATTCTCTTTGGTTGCAATTGTTCTCCAAAGCACTCTCCTTTTCTTTTTTTTTTTTTTTTTAAATTAGTCCATAGTTCTGCACGTAGCTAAACGCAGAAGTCTATCGTGCCTGTCACAGCGGAAGGCTCACGCGTCGATTATCACCTTTTCATAGGATGTGACAGAAGTGGAGATGGGAACTTTACAAAAAAAATGGATTTTAATAGCTGTATCTGTCACATCTCTGGGCGTAAAACTGATGCATATCTTGGATATTCCCTGGGCGAACGCTAACCCATTACCGTGATACAGAAACATCAGCTGGTCTGACAGGTTTCCGATGAGACGCCGCGACTGACAATGCCACCCCCTCGGGAGATATGAAAATCTATTAGTTTCACACCGGGGCTCAATATTCGGCTCCAGTCTCGCCTTCCTTTTATTACATGCGTGGGGCGAAATGTTTATTTTACTGCAGAAGATAAACAAGAGATTGACGCGGCCTCTGGAGAGTTTTTTTCCCATGGTGTCATTGACAGCAGCCAAGTCAAGTCCCCCATAGAGAATGTCTACCCTCTACGCAGGTCACGGGATGTCCTACACATGTTTTACACAATGCATTGACTGGAGGTCATATCTTCGTCTGGGAATATATATGAAATGCAGAAACCTGAATATCATTTTTAAGGCCACAGACGGACTGTATAGCAGGGGCGGACTGACCATTTGGAAACTTAGGCACTGCCCAAGGGCCCGGGGTCAGTAGGGGGCCCCATGAGATGACCGTGGTACCTTTTTCATAGGCTTTTTTGAGTTTGGGCAAGGACACAGGGGCCCCATGATCCCCTATTGCCTGGGGGCCCCATGAGTTGTCAGTCCGCCCCTGCTGTATAGTCCCTTTTTTCTCTTCTTGTCATCCCTGGGGCAGATCTTCCCCAGCCTTTGTCAGCTGCTTTCTGTCTACATGCATATGCTCCAAAAACAGCTGCATGTCCTTTCTCTGGACCGACTTCCTGAAAGTGACAGCAGTGGACCACACCTGTGCGATGCGTGTCTGCGATTTTGCTTGTAGTCACCCCCAGGGGTGTGTATGGCCAGCTTAAACAATAAAGACTTGGCCCCTGCCAGACACCCTTACTAGGAGGGGTTGGCTGTCACATGTGACGCTCCCGGGTTGCGGCACTCAAATTTTCAAACAGCACAGCTGACAAGTGATCAACCAAAGTACAGAATCATCACCCAAGAGCTGGGCTCTCCAAACTGTTCAATCAATACCAATGATGTTCAACTATTCAATACCAAACTGTTCAACTATTCCTCCAATCAATACCAATGATGAGGCACTATTCCTCCCACTGACACCAATGATGGGACACTATTCCTCCAATCAATACCAATGATGGGGCACTATTCCCCCCACTGACACCAATGATGGGGCACTATTCCTCTCTCTGATACCAATGATGGGGCACTATTCATCCCACTGACACCAATGATGGGGCACTATTCATCCCACTGACACCAATGATGGGGCACTATTCCTCCAATCAATACCAATGATGAGGCACTATTCCTCCCACTGACACCAATGATGGGGCACTATTCCTCTCTCTGATACCAATGATGGGGCACTATTCATCCCACTGACACCAATGATGGGGCACTATTCATCCCACTGACACCAATGATGGGGCACTATTCCTCCAATCAATACCAATGATGGGGCACTATTCCTCCAATCAATACCAATGATGGGGCACTATTCCTCCCACTGACACCAATGATGGGACACTGTTCCTCCAATCAATACCAATGATGGGACACTATTCC